TCAACCTAAGAATTATTCAGTCAGTTTGCATTGTAGTCCATGTAATTACTGAATAATAAGCTTTAGAATGCAATGATCCTGAGATTTTTAGAGCATAAAACAGCTGCTGCAATCAAACAAAAAAAGAAACAAATCTCATTATCTTACCATACTTTTTTAACCTCTCCCAATAAAGTTACAGGTTTGAAGGTTTTGATTGTGTGTAATGATAAGGACTTGTTAGAAATTCCATAATGTAAGTACTCATGTAGAAGCTAAGCTTGCTCTTTATTTCTCACCTGTCTTGTCTACTTCATTTGGATGCTGATTTGACTGATTCCAGTCATTAAGGCTAACACTTGAGTGTATCCAGATTTTTACATACCATTATAGCTCCATTTGTTTCCCATTTGCCACATTCAAACCAATGTATTTTTTAAACGATTAACATTAAATTCACCATCCTTGGACAAAAACATTTATATTTAAATGTAATGACTCTTAAATGGGCCCAATCATTTGTTCATGCAAGCTTATTATGAAAAACACAGGAAGACCTGTGACTGGTCATGATCATGGGAGGTAACAAGGGGAGTCTCTCTGATTGGCTAGGTTTGATCCCTGATCTCGAGAAGAACCTTTCTGATTGGCTCTGTAACAGAGTGCAAGAAATATATGATTGGTTAACTCTGTCAAAAAGTAGAATCTCTGTGAAACTATTTGGAACAGACAGCTTTTGTGGGTGGAAAAGATGAAGGCTCCACTCAGTGTGCTGCTCACCCTGGCTCTTTATGGACTGACCTCCTGTCTTGTAAGGGAACACATCCATGTGGACAAAATAATGACTTGGCTTGAAGCTCAAGAATACTGCAGACTTCACTATGATGACCTGTCCACATTACCCACTCAAGAAGAGGTAAAGCAGCTTGTTGATATAGGACATCTCTCTTGCCCCACCAGCACTGGGTACTTTTGGTGGTGTGTTTATGGAAGATGGATTGGACTATATACAGAGACTCCTACTCTACCGGTTCCAATCTGGAAGTGGTCAGGAGAAGAAAATGAGACCTTATGCCCATGGGCTTCTGGGGAACCAAACAGCATGCCAGATGAAGCTTGTGGTATGACATTTGGCAAAATAGGTCAATGTTATAATGCCCCCTGCTCATGGAATCTCAGCTTTTTCTGCATGGAGGTGTATGAAGTGATCCTTGTGCAGAAGAACAAGACCTGGCAAAAAGCTCTGGACTACTGCAGAAAACACTACATAGACCTAGTCAGTCTGAAAGCAGACAATTGGATGAAGAATGCCGTGGAGGTGACCAAGGTGGCGCAGACAGCATATGTGTGGACCGGCTTGCATTTCCTGTCTGGGGAGTGGTTTTGGGCCAAAGGAGATGCTCTGGGGTATCAGGCCTGGTCTACAGAGGGTCAGCCCCCGTGCCCCGCCACAAACCGCCGCTGTGTAGCTCTAGGGCAAAAAGAAGAGATCTGGCAACCTACAGCCTGTGAGGAGAAACTAAATTTCCTTTGCTTCCAGAAGTTACATTATCAGGGATCACAATCAGCAGCTGAGCAAACTTCATCAGTATCAGCATCAGCATCAGCAACAACAACAACAACAACGACAACAAAACGAAGCACAAAAAAATGAGGGAAATAGAAAATGATAAAGTCATTGTATTCTGCACTGGAGTCTTAATAAGAGATACAAACAAGATAACTGATTTAGCCTTTAAAGTCATTTAAAGTCAGTACTGTTCTTTTCCTTCTGTGTGCATAATTCAAAAATATTTAATAAGAAGTCTCATATTCCTTTTTACTTATAAAGTTTTTCTTCATAGTCTTACTCATTTTGATGAACTGGTTACTTTGAAATGTGTTATTTAGTTGTATTTACTTAAACTATAAGAATGAAAAAGAATTAAGACTTCATTTTAAGAAAAATCCCAGGAAATTCCAGCAATAGATTGTAACGTAAATACAGTAAAATAATATTTACAATATACATGGAAAATAGAATTTTAAAATCACTTAATTATGTGTGCAAATAAAATGAAAGCTAACTTGAATAAATAAAATTATATAAATATCAATGAATTAAAGTATAATGTGTGATTAAGTAATATGTGTATTATGCTCTTTTAAGTGTCAGTGTTCTTCATTTTTGGAAGCAATGAGGAAATTTCCTGGCTTTCATCAATTGACTAAAACTAACTAAATAAATAAATAAACTCACAGGGCCCCTTGTTGCCCAGGGGCTGTAAGCAACTTCAGATACTGCTTATAGCAGGAAACCCTGCCTGCAATGCTGCTGTGCTTGATACACTTCTACCAGCAACAACCACTAGCAAGCCTCTAGTGTGTTGGCGTCACTGTTGTGCTGAGAATATTTAGTGATGGATGATTTTATGTTTTATTTTTTCCAAAATTTGCAGTGCACTGACATTTACAGAAAAATGCCACGTTTAAGTTTGTTCTCTGTAGTCTAGCAATAGAATGCACCATTTGACCTGAAGCGTTCATACTTTTGCGTATGTTCATCCTCTACCAAAGTAACATTAAACTTTTGTCTGCACCCCTTGAGTCCTCTTACTATCATCTGGTGTTAATCAGGTTCATCCAGCAGTTCTTCCATTATACTGTTGAAAAAAAATCATAGCACTATAATTTGGCTTTTCTACATAGATAATGGGATGTAGATGACATGTAGGGACAGGTCTTCATGAGTTTTAACTTGGAGCAACTTCATTCTGGAGCTAGCTAGTGAAGAAACTAGTGTTAGAAAATGTTATAATGAGCTCTGTTCTAATTCGTCCACCGAGCTCTCTATGACTACTTAGGTCACCAACATGTGACTTCTACACAGAAATTATGCATTAAATGGGTAAAGGAAGCTGTGTAGACTATGACAGAAACTCGTACAAAGAACAACCTGGACTTCAGAGTTGAAAACAAAAACTACGGTCCAATGGCATGTTTTTTTTCGCTTCTTTATTTATTACATATCCCATATACAGTACATCAGAGTTTAAAATCTTGGTTTGGATAATAATGTTGACACCAGTAGCACTATCTGAAACATTGATGAAGTGTTAATAACAGTAATATTAATATACTTGTATTACATTAAGTCTTGAAGTTCCCTGAAAAAATCTGAAATCAATTATTCAGCATCTATTGGCAAAACGTTTTCTATGTTATTTTTACTTTGCTGTAGTAAGCCTAATAATCTACGTAGTAGATCTAGGTTACTCAGGGTTTTTTTTTTATTCGTTACTGATCTTCAAGAGAATGATCAGTTAAAGTATAAGAGTACAAAGAGGCTTTTTTTCTAAATTTGGGTGTTTAACAGTATCTGATATAAACAACAAAGCCTTCTATGATAGTTAATAGGGGTGGGAATCTCTAGGCACCTCACGATTAGATTACGATTCAGAGGGCTGCGATGCGATTATAAAACGATTATCGATGCATCTCGATGCATCTTTTTTTTCTATATAGCATTTATATTTTCTCACTGTGTGAGCTCAAGTTTCGAGTTCAAGTTTCAAGTTTATTTGTCATTTGCACAACATGTCAGGACATTTATGCATTGACATGCTTGTGGTGAGGCTCAGCTAATCACTCTACAGAAAGTAAATAAGTAAAAATAAAAATACAAGAAAAACCAACTGAAATATATTAAATATACACAGAATATAGAGACAATATACATTTTAAAGTGACTAAGTGACTCGGTGTTATTGTTATTTAAAGTGACTTGGTACTTTTAAAGCAAAGTATTTGTAATGATCCAATATTTTTCTTAATAAAACAAATGGAAGTGATGTGGCAAGTAAACTAACTAGAAGGCTCTCATTCAGTGCTCTTGTTTGGAGCACGAGAAGCTGCTGCTACTCATCTGTGATAAAATGCGCAGTTACGGTGAAATAAGATACAGTCGCAGTGGATGTCCACGCAGCATGTTACAGCTATTCTATCCGTTTTCTTTAGTGATTTTATAACTTCGGTTTTGGTCTCGTTGTAGAGAGCTGGGGGAGCGCTGTGTCAGCAAAGTATCTTTGAGATGGGACGTGTGAAACATAGCACGAAAGCCCTGTTTCGCAACGACTGAGAACCGGCGTGCAGACTGCAGGTCACATAGCAGCGATGCGTTATTCGCATTTATAAGCACTGCAGTTGGTTTCCTGGTACCTTAAATCTGCAACGAGAGACTGTCACACTAGAAAGTGGCGAAGATGAAGTCAGCCTCTCTTTTGAATTCTCCCGTTCCACCTTAAATGGTGCCGCATTTACATTCGGTGCCTCAGTTAGAATTTAAGGTGGAACGGGTAAATTCAAACAAGAAGCTGGAGAATAAGAAGCGACTTCAGCCTCGTAAAACAGTCGTTGAGAGACATTTTACAAGAAACTGATCTACTTCTGAGAAAAAGTTTTCTGGCGGAGATGGGAGGAAAGCGGCTATAGCTGAGCTAAAGCTTAAAGCAGAGCAAAGTAAATCTGTGTTTTCGTTTATATTGTTTAGCCTATACTAGGACATTATCACATACTGGACATTAAATGTTGTGGCTCCCAAGATGGTTTGATTTTTGTTGAAAGGACAAAATGGCTCTTCTTATCATTTGTGTTGTGACTCCTGACCTGACCTGGTTTTTAATGCAGAGGGGGCCGGTCGGATTTCTCACTCATCCAGTAGTAGTTTTTGTTATGTGCCGCCACAGACTGTCCGGGCACTGCACTTACCCACTTCCAAGTTCCGCCTTTTGCGTTCCATCAACATTACGTTATAAATTAAATATTTAGAAAATCAATTTTTGACATTTGTGAATCTATTCAGAATCGTTCACATCCGCATCGCGATGCATCTAAGAATCGATTTTTCCCGCACCCATAATAGTTAATCTTCATAAAAGTCTAGTGAAAACAAGAAGTAATGGTTCTACATCAGTTCTTTTTGAACATTTAAAGTCCTATCCCACCACCTTTAAGAACTTTTGTAATTGAGGTTCATTTCGAGTTCAGTCTGTTAATTTTTTGAGGCACAGAAAGTTGAGTTTCTCCTCACAGTCTCTGGGTTTCCAGGTCTTTTCTTCTGTCTCCAGAGCTCCACAACGGTGGCTGCTGCCAGGACACTTGGGGTGTCCATCCTCAGACCAGGCCTTGTATTCCAGAGCATATCCATTTACCCAAATCCAGTATTTGGCCACATAGTGCAGGCCAATCCACAAGTGTTCTGTCTCGGCCATTTGGCTTTTCATCGCTGCCCAGTCGTTCTCCTCATCTGATCGCAGGCTGGCCAGGTCAGTGTAATAGCTCCTGCAGTAGTCCAAGGCCTCTTCCCATGTCTTATTCTGTTTCACCAGGATCAGTTGAGGATCAGTTGACTCTTCCATGCAGATAAATGTGAGATTCAGAGAACAAGAGGCAGCATACCATTCACCAGTCCTCAAATCATAATAAGCACAGCTCAGCATGTCAGATTTACTTGGTTCCTCTTCAGCCCACATACGAAATTTTGAGTCTTGTTCTCCTGACCACTTCCAAACTGATGAATCAGTACCGTCTGCGAAAAGACCAATCCATCTTCCAAAACGGCATTCAACGGTGAAAAATTCATCGTTGCACAAAGTGGCCTTTGCCCCCAGCAAGCTGTCATTTTCATCTAGGTTGCTAATGGTGGATAGGTCATCATAGTGGAGTCTGCAGTACTGTTGAGCTTCTTTCCAGTTCATTTTCTGAGTCACAAAGATGTACGTTCTACTTACATAAGAGGTGGATCCATAGAAACCCATAATAAGAAGCAAAGTGCCTATAGACTTCATCTCTGTTCCAGCTTTGGAAAGCACTGTGTCTGCTCTAGCTGGTGATAATGTGACTGAGAGAAAGCCCTTTGGAAAGCTCAGTTAACCGATCTACATTTCAGTGCTCCTTCAGGCATAGCCAATCAGAAGACCCTTTCCTAACTTCCTGTTTCAAGCTAATCCATATGAACAGCTTGAACAGTTGAGTGCATGGCTAGTTACAGTTCTCAAGTCTTCATCATTGCAATCCTCTAAAATGCTTTGATGTGTTAATGTTAAATTAGTTAATCTAGCAATTCATTACTTATGTAATTTATAGAATTAGTGAGTGTATATGTGAACAACAATCAATGCTGCGCCTTTCAGGCAAATTCAAAACAAATAATGCTCTGCATGGAAAGCAAAAAGCCAGGTACAAACAAATTGCTGTCTGGAATCAGTCAAATTAATTTGACTGGGTTTTCAAACAGGGCTCTGTATAAAGCAGGTCAAGTACTGGAGTGTTTCATTTCATCCACTAGACCACTTCCAGTGTCTGAGCTACAGAGCTTATCTATAAAGTCCAATTCTGCTTAATAAACTACTAAAGCCATCTGTAGTATCCATGAACTGTTGAACCTCTTCCAGGTAGCATCATCATATTGAAGTCTGCAGTACTTTTGAGCTAAATATCAGAATCATTCTATAATTCTGATAGGTTCTTTACATTCTTAAGTGTGAATTCAACTGATTTTTCAAAATCTCTGCATAATTCAGTCACTGAGATGTAAACAAAGTGGTCTGATGTGAAATTGTGCATTGAAGAAAACTTACCAATTCAAATTTCTTTACAGCAGTGGTGTTAGCAACCATTACACCACAAACATAGCCTTTTAATTTACTATCTAAAATGACTAATGAGCCTACACATGTCTTCTGAGCTTTTCTATGTAATGTTGGTCATGGTAAAATAGTGGTAAGTGTACACCACAAATATATTTTAAGCCAGAATCTTACCTCAAAACTATTGTTAACCAATACCTCAGGCAAAGTATTCATAAGCGTTTTTTTTTGTTTGTTTTTTTTTTTTCAGTGACTTTCTGTGAGGGAGCTTTTTAAAGGCACTAAATTACTCCGACAGCTGGTTTCCATCAGCATCACTGTGCACATTTCTGACTCTGTATGTTCCTCTAGAATGACACAATTCATAAGGATTCTTTGGAACGATAGCATAGAAAGCGGTTCTTATTCCTGGTTCTGGAATGTCCCAGCCCTGCATGTTGTAGGGTTCTCCCTGCTGTAACACACTCAGAAATTGCCTTTTAATTCGTTTATTGGTTGAATTAGGTGTTATTAGCAGGGGAAACTCTAAAATGTGCAGGGCAGTGGTACTTCCAGGATAACCAGGACTGAGAACCACTGGAGGACCACTGTCAGAGAATAATCATTACTTATTCAGCTTTTAATGGATGGTTCTTTAAAGAACCATTTAGTTAGTGAGATGTGCAAGGTATTGATATTTAGTTGTGTTTACCTAAACTGTGAGAATGAAAAAAATTAAAATTTAAAAAATCCCAGCAATAGATTGTAAGGTAAATACAGTAAACCAATATTTACAATATACATGTAAAAATAGAATTTTAAAACCACTTAATTATGCATGCAAATTAAACAAAAAACTAACTGGAATAAATAAAATCATATGAATATCAATAAGTTAAATACAAGGTGTGATTAAGTAATATGTGTATCACGCTCTTTTAAAAGTCAGTGTTCTTCGTTTTTGGAAGCAAATTTATGATGTCTTAATAAGAATATGTTCTGCCTTTTATCAGATGACTAAAAATAACTAACTAAATAAATAAACTCACAGGGCCCCTACTTCTCATACTGCTTATAGTAAGGAAGTCTGCCTGCAAAGCTGCTGTGCCTGATATACTTCTACCAGTAACAACCACTAACAAGCCTTCAGCATGTTGGCATCACTGCTGTGCTGAGAACAGTAATATATGATTTTATTCTTTATTTTTTCCAGTAATGTGCACTAAAATTTGCAGAAAATACCACGTTAAAATTTGTTCTCCGTAGAGGATCAACAAATTACATCATGTGACCAGGAGTGGTCAAACTTTTGCATATGTTCATCCTCTGCCAAAGTAATGTTAAACTTTTGTCTGCACCCCTTGAGTTCCCTTACGATCATCTGCTGTTAATCACACTCATCCAGCAGTTGTTCAAGTATATCGTTAAAAAAATCACATCTCTATATTTTAGCTTTGCGGGTGTGTTTTTTTTCTACAAGACGAGGTACGATTGAGGAACCTTTATTTGTAAGAGTGCAAGCACACACATTGACAGTCCAAAGAGACATATGATAAGCAGCACAATGGCTATGAAAATTGTATTTTTCTTCTTTATTTTCTATTGAGTCACAAAACTAAACTATGGTTTGGCTCTTTGCCTCCTTTAAATATTCTAAATATTATTTTTTCAACAGATTTAGTATGCAGGCAAATGTGATCTACAAATACTGTAACAATAACATCAACAACAAACTAAACTAATTTACTTGAATAGGAACCATACAAAATATCATTCAAAAATAATAGTTCTGAAAACCAAAAAATACTAGAGACCACGCATGTCACACTGCTTTTCTAAAGAAGTATGTGATCATAAAAAGCACAGAGATGGGTATCACATCACTGAAGTATGTATAGCTGCATTTAGAACTGTAGCCTCTTTATAACTGTTTTGAATTTGAAGGTATTTAAGTCGGTAACTTTTCTAGCATTATATTCAGTATATTTATTAAATTCAGCAATAAAATACAGAGTAAGTTAATGTAAGAAAACATGCTTTCATGGATAAAATGTGGAAACGGAGAGGTATTGTTATTTTTCATAGTTATTTATTCTGATTACTTATGCAACAGTGTTAAAATATCTTTGAATTACATTGAAATATACAACAGGAAGCCTCACAAATACAATATGATGATTAAAGAATTATTTGAATAACATTCTTCAAATAACATAAATGCATTCGTACTTATTGATGATTATACATTGTCAGAAACAAATAAACGTGTGAATTTCAAACATAAATGTAATGAGAACTTTCCTTCAAAGAAATGTGCCACAAACGGTTCTTTGAGTGATGCCATAGAAGAACCACTTTTGGTTCCCTAAAGAACCATCTTTGATAAAGATACAATATAAAGGTTTGATACCAATTTATGATTTTTTTTTTCTAGGAATGTTTCATTATGTGGAGGTTCTTTCAAATTTAAAAGGGGTTCTTTACATTCACACAAATTATTTTTTACCAAAAAAGAGCTTTCCAATGAAAAGTTCTTTGGGGAACCATAATAGAACTCTTTTGGAACCTTTATTCTTAAAAGTACAATTGAAATTTGTTTGTTGAGTCTAGTGCTCATTTTTTGAAACAGATGAAGCTGAGATTTTCTTTACAGTCTCTTGGTGTCCAGATTTCCTTGCTCTTCTGCAGAGCTCCACAGCGAAGGTTTGTGGAAGGACACTGGGGCTGATGCCCTGTGGCCCAGGCCTGGTAGTCCAGATCATCGTTGCTGACCCAAAACCACTGACCAGCCAGAAAGCGCAAGCCAGTCCACAGGTACTCTGTCTGGGCTGTGTGGCTCATATTCACTGCCTCGGCATTCTTTTCTTCTGACTGCAAGCTGGCCAGGTCAACGTAATGATTCCTGCAGTAGTCCATAGCCTGCTCCCAAGACTTACTTTGCCACACAATAATCAACTCACGAGTGGTTTTCATGCAGAAAAACATAAGTAACAAAGAGCAGTTGGTGGTGCTCCATTTTTTATTTTTACCATTAACACGGACACAGTCATAGCCATATATATTTCTTGGCTCTCCGTAATTCCAGTATTGGAAATCTGTGTCTCCTCCTCCAGACCACTTCCACTGTGATCGATATAGAACATCTCTGTGAAGTCCAATCCAGCCAGACACTGAACTACCTGCATTGAGCTGCTGTAGTTCTTTCACGCTGTGGATGGTGCTCAAGTCTTCATAGTAATGTCTACAGTACTCCTGAGCATCTGACCAGGTCATTTTTTCATTTATGTGGTAGTGTCTAATAAGAGAAGCTGTCAGTCCGTAAAGACCCATGATAAAGAGCACAACACCTGTGAATTTCATTTCAGTGCAGATGCTCTACACTGTATCAAACTTCTCAAGCTCAGTAATAAAGATTTAATCAACAGCCTGGTCTTCCACTTTTATACACAGGCCATATGAATGTGTAGGCGTGTTTTAGTCCAGAGATGACCAATGACAATCATAATGAATCCTCTTATTAGCAGGCTACTAAAGTAACCAGAAAGGAGCAGTTCACAAATCAAAAGCTTGGGTCCATTAGACTTTCAAGACATCACAGTTTTAATGGTTTGTTCCAGAACAAACATAGTATTCTACGCAAATCCTCAAAAGCAAATTTTCAAACAAATTCATGACTATTTGTTTTAGGGTCAAGTTTTGTTTATTTTTAATTTGTATTGCTGTACAAAAGTAAACAAGAGCTGAACCTTAATCTACTTTTTAGCTAATGAACCCAATCATTCTGATGTAAC